ATCAAACACCGAAGCGGAAAATCGATCGACATCATCAACAATACAAAAAAATACTTGGTTGAAGCAACTAATGGAAGATCTTCATCAGCCAACAGAATATCTAATAAGGCTTTTTTGCAATAACCTATCAGCTATACGTTTAGTAGAAAATCCAGTCTTTCATTCAAGGACAAAACATATAGAAGTGCACTATCATTAGGTATGAGAGGACTATTGTTGCTCCAGCTGAGGAGAAGCGATATTGACAAAGATATATTTACTTGTGAGTTTTTGTGTGCCTATGGTGGTATGCTTGATTTAATATTATTGTTCTGAACTAACCGACTTATTGTTTATTTTTAATTTAGTATTAATTATGCTTTATAGAAGGAGCTTGATGATGGGGATATGAAGCGGACAAGAGAAGTGTACATGTATCTGGCAATTCCTTCAATGGATTTATGGTTCTGTTTGTCGCTACTATTGCTAAATTGTTCTGAAATCAATACTCCACTGATAAATCTTGCCAACTAACACTGCAAGAAATTTGCCAATTGCAGACTATTTTAATGTTTGAATATGCCTTTTTCACAGTCTACTTGCTTGTCCGTTTCATTATGCTTCTGGTGAAGTTTTACCTTCTCACCAATTATGCTGATTAAAAGGGAAAAAGAATGAGGAAAGTCTCAAATTTGATGTGCTACCATTTGCAAAGGAACTAACTTGTTCATTATTTCTATTGGTTGTATGGCTTGTCGTTACAAATTTATAGCATGCATCAAAATTTGATTTTTATTGTTGTCTCTGATGAAATCTTGAGACTCCGACACAATGGCCGGACATTGCCGATCGACAGTACTTAGTTAATTCTATTAACATTCTAATAGTCTCGCCTCCCTCATCCTCATGCATATACAAAGGATGCAATGACTCATGTTTTGGGTATTTTCCATATTAACAATTGTCATATATTGTGTTTATCTTTGTGATTATAGTTACACCAATTTTTTGTCTTTTTAATGGTCATGCTGCATAATTTTGTCTAATTGCGTCATTGTTGATCCAATAAGTAATTTCATGGGTAATGATCTTTCAAATGGTTACAAAATATAGCGTAATTTAGCAACTTCAACGATTATCACCACCACGATACGTCGAAGAATTAGTAAAGCTCCATACACTTCTCCCCGTTCTCAAGCTTATTCATGGGTACATACTGAAATGCGGGAGCATACTCAGCATTAGGGGCTCGAATTTCTGCCTTCTCTTCCTCCTCACACAGCCTCAACCGCCGCTTCAACTTCGTTCGAGCATCATGCCTAGAAGCCCGAGCCTGCTTGATCTTCACCACCATTCGATTCAACTGGGCCTCGAAGGTACTCATCGTCGGGGGCAGTCTCCGTCGGCACGATATGCTTCTCGTTGTTATTGATCCCTCCCGTGCGCTTTTCTTTATTCAGGGTAAGTTCCATTAAAGTAAATAGAATTTGAAACGGGCTCAATTTATATTTATGGTGTTTGTGTTTCCTTGTATGGCCATTCAACGGTAATCTTAATTTTGAATTTGAAATACAAAACCGTTGCTCTATCTTATTTTTGAATTTGAAAAATTAGACCGTTGCTCTCCCGCTCAGCCCCTCTTTAAAAACCCACTAATCGCTGTTTTCCCATCCACACGTCTAAAATCAAAGAAACACAGATTATCTCGTAATTTCTTCTTCCCTTCTAAAAAATGGCGGATTTGGCGGTTGTTGTCGATGTGCCGAAGAAATCGAGAAAAAATGGAAGAAAAGCCTTGAAAGAGAAGAACCCATCGACGAATGAAGCCAATATTCTGGCAGGAAAGCTCTCCCCATTACCAGCGGTTCCTTCTCCGATGGAAGCCAACGATAAAGGAAAGTCCGCCAAGGCCAAATCGAAACAGAGCAAGCAATCGTTCGAGAAAGACTTGCAAGATATGCTTCGGCAGTTGAGGATCGAGAAGGAGAAGACGGAGGAGTTGTTGAAGGAGAAAGACGAGATGTTGAAGCTTAAGGAAGTAGAGATCGAGAATAAAGGTAAGGAACAAGAGAAATTGCAGATGGAGCTGAAGAGATTGCAGAAAATGAAGGAGTTCAAGCCCACCATGGTACCCTTTTTGTTCTATTTTCCCTTTCTTGATTCAAATTTTGGGATGATTCTTAATTTCTCATTGATGTTCCTTGTTCAGATTTTTTGTTTGATTTCCCTTTCTTTATCCAAATTTTGGGCTGATTCTTAATTTCTTATTGATGCTCCTTGTTCAGACTGATTTTCCCTTTCTTGATTCAAATTTTGGGATGATTCTTAAATTTCTCATTGATGTTCCTTGTTCAGACCTTTGCAATTCCTAAGTCTTCGAAAGAGAAGAAAAATGGTGGATCTGAAAAGAAGAGGCCGTCACCGCCTTACATTTTATGGTGCAAAGATCAATGGAAAGAGATAAAGAAGGAGAATCCGGAGGCGGATTTCAAAGAGGTTTCGAATATTCTGGGTGCGAAATGGAAGAACATCACCGCCGAAGAAAAGAAGCCTTACGAAGAGATATACCGAGCCGAAAAGGAAGCATATTTGCAGGTGATGGCAAAGGAGAGGCGCGAGACCGAAGCGATGAAGCTCTTGGAAGATGAAAACAAGCAAAAGTCAGCCATGGAGTTGCTTGAACAATACTTGCAGTTCAAGCAAGAAGCAGATAAAGAAACAACCAAGAAGAAGACTAAGAAAGAAAGGGATCCCCTGAAGCCGAAGCAACCGATGTCGGCTTTCTTTTTGTTCTCGAACGAGCGGAGGGCAGCTCTTCTAGCAGAGGACAAAAGCAATAACATTTTGGATGTCGCGAAGATTACCGGCGAAGAATGGAAGAACATGACTGAAGAACAACGACGACCTTATGACGAGGTAATTTATCGAACCCGAAAACTGAATCGTTTTATAAGAGCTCTTGGACTAATGTAATTTTGTGAATTTTGCTTGCAGATGGCAAAGAAGAACAAGGAAAAATTCATGGAGGAAATGGAGGTATACAAGCAGAGAAAGGAAGAAGAAGCTTCGAGTCTCCGAAAACAAGAGGAAGAAACAATGAAACTCCATAAACAAGAAGCTCTTCAACTGCTCAAAAAGAAGGAGAAAACAGATGACATCATCAAGAAAACGAAGGAGAAACGCCAGAAAAACAAGCCTGTATCGGACCCGAACAAGCCAAAGAAGCCTGCATCTTCATTCCTTTTGTTCAGCAAAGAAACAAGGAAGAATCTGATGCAAGAGCGAGAAGGGATCAATAATTCCACACTCAATGCATTGATTTCGCTGAAATGGAAGGTATATGATGTTAAGTTGGGATTTTCAGGTTTAAGTTTCGATCTTTCTTGTTAATTGACATTGGGTTTCTGTTGTTTTTGGATGTTATTAGGAACTTAGTGAGGAAGAGAGGAATGTTTGGAATGGAAAAGCAGCTGAAGCCATGGAAGAATACAAGAAGAAACTGGAAAAATATAATAACAAATGTGCAGAGGAGAACAAGCAGCAGTGATGAAATGTTCTTGACGTTGTTTAGTTTGAAACATCAATCCTTTTGATGAACTGTTCTTACACGGTAGGATCTTGTTATTTTAAGTTGTTGTCATGTTGATTTTGTCTCATTGCAATTTAGTTTCAAAATTCTGGAATTCATATCATCTTTCGAGAAATATAAAACTGTAGTTTTTTTTTTCAGTGCAAATCCTTCTGTTTGTTTTCCCGGAAAAATATGGAGAAATCCCAATAAAATAATCCTCATAAATTCGACTTAATTTTTTTATTCAACTCGATCGAATACATCTTTATAATAAGAGTACATATCTTCTGTATTATTGAATGCAAACTGTGAAAACATCTCAAAATAGACTCGAATAGAGCACTTTTGGTTCCCATATCAATTTTCAGAACAAAAATCAACGAATCAAAATTGTATATAGCAAATGGAGATCGCCATCAAGGAACTTGTTCTTTAGGTGATTCAATTTATACTCCATGCTTAATATGACTCTTAGAATCTGAATCCGAACACATGGTTGTTTTCAACGCTCACATCCGAACCCGAACCCGAACCCGAGTAACCTACAACACAAGTTGATAGAATTTCTCAACAGAGGAACTTGGCATAACCTGAGAAAGTAAAATTCAAAGCATGGTGTAACAACATGCAAAATAACCCCTATTCCTATATATACACTACTGCATTTACATTGCTAAACATTATTGTTGAATTATACTTAAATTATCATTTTAATCACATAATTTCAAAATTTTAAAAAATATTGTTAAATTTATCCAACTGATATAAAATGATCATTATGATATTATAATAAATATAAAAATTAATGAATACAATAATTATTTTATAACCGTTCACAATTATTTAACTTTTATATCTATAAGAGAACCTGAAATTTAAGAAACATTCAACTCTTAACCATTCACCAATAGAGTTAGTTTAAGTGGTAAACAACTTGATATTATTAAAGTAGATTTCGAGTTTGAATCTTTATGCATGCATAAAATTTTCGTTGGAAGACTCACCCACAAAAATAAAATGTACAATCCAGATCCGTCTGAATCAATCAAGACGAAGCCTTAAAATTGGAATACAACCAAAAAAAACTCCTAACCATTCAATGAAATAATCTGTGAAAGGATAATTTAATTTTCCCATGAAATCAACACCATTCGTCAATTTATTGGATAACGGTCCCTTCAATTGGAGCCTGCCCTGCATTCAATGGCCGACCCTAACATTTCCCTCGGTGTGCCCACACCTTAATTACAACACACCTACATCAAGAATAATCTCTCTACCGATATAGACATGCATGCATGCATACAACTACCAAATTACCAACAGACATGCGCGTACGTGCATACACCTACCAAATTACCAACATACATACCATTATACATACAATTATTACCAACATACATACATGCAAAACTAATGAACATAAAGTGTGACAATGCGTAGATATTTGCAAACAAATACCAATTCACCACCCCCATTATTCAACATAGAGAAACACCACAGAAATTTTTGATTCATTTCTTCATTTAGTAAATCCGTAGGCTGCGGACGAGTTTTAATTGTCAGCTACTATCAACACAGTACACCTAAAGATCATTGTTCTAATTGAAAGAAGCAGCATAAAAAATATAAGGAAACAGAAGTTCTCTATGCTAGCAGGAAACCCCAAACTGTCTTCCCGCCTTCTAATAACAAGAGTGTCTCTCGCTTGTCACCCGCAACAATTACCTTGATGAAGCTAACAGGGACCCAGATTTTTCACATTCTTTTGATTGGCTCGGTCCGATCCTGAACAGCCAAGCGCTCTGAAACATCAGCCAATGACTTGAGGTTGCACTTGATCAGTGCCTCGACAAAGTAGCATGTTTCATCCTTGGTGTTCCCTTCTGGTACATCCACTACAAATGACTCGATCACCAATGTTCCTGGTCTGCCATCAATGACCTCGGGATGAACTGTAACAATGGATGAGTAGTTCTGCCAATTCGCAAATAAGGAGAATTTTGCAGTTTCAGCAGGTTAGTCCGTGACAAATGTTTAGGACATATTATGAAGTTCAAAATTTTGACCCCAGAGAGAGGTTAATGCAGAATTGGTACATAGCATTCACGGAAATTCAAATATTAGAAATAAAAGGAGGCAGGATATTATATCTCAGATCTAAAAACTAATACATCTTCAACAACATGATAAACAACATTGCTTTCCCACCATTTGCATAAACTAAAAAACATTCTATTATACCAAACCCATTACATCAAAACTGCCAACAAACCTTTGGTTATTGCACTTGCAAAACGAATAGTCCCCCAGATCAAATGCACCAGTAGCCCAAGAAACAACAATAATTGGATGAAGGATAAGGCATACAAATTGCCCCAGACACAATGCAGGAAAGAAGCTCATTCATGCCACTAGCCAAATTCAGCAGACAGAGATTTCGGAAATCAATGTGTATGATATATATCTCCTTCTTGTTTCAGAACTCCAATTTCGAGTTTCATAAACATAAAAAAGGTTCCTATGTTATCCCAATGAGTTGCAAAAGAAGTTAGCATATTCAGTCATCCATCTTACAGGATACGATATCCAAAACATTATTACATTTTCTGTTAATTTATATCACAGAATCTAACAGAGAATGTCATATAATAAAAGACAAGATATGTTAGTTTGAGATTTTAATCCTTATATTTCAGTCAAGATCATATGTTGAAAAACTAAAAATCTATAGGAATTCAAAGAGCAAGCATTTTAAGTTACGTGTACTGTGTTTAAAAACTCATACCTTCAACCTGTGGTCTCCTCCAACAATCCTCATGCTCAAAATATGCTCATCATCATCTAGATACTCTAACCTTTCCTTGCTAGTTGTGGCAGGCAAACCTGACTTAACATTGACTTCTCTAACACTTCCAATCTGAAGATCACCCTGTAGAACACACTTACTAACAAATGGCTTATACTTCTCCGGTTGATCAAATCTCCTCACCAAAGACCAAACCTGATTGATCGAAAACCAATAATAATTCATTAACGAAGAAAACACACCAAATTTGCCTTCAAACAAAGCAAACTAAAACCTGAAACTAACCTCAAAGTAATTTTATTTGTAACTGCACAACATTTAGATTGGGTAAGTTATCATTTCCATACTCGAGTGAAATAAAAGTTTAACGAAAATCTTCTGATCCATTTCCATTCAAACAAAGCAAAAACTAAGCAATCCACTATACAAGAAAACAACAATTTTGGAAAGTAAATGCGAGAACGCAGATTGTCGACAACTTCAATTGATTCACAAAAGAATTTCAGTGATAACTTCACAATTCTAATCAGCCCCTACTTAATTTCAATCTCATGTATGTTCACGCAACATGCAATGAAAAATAAAGGAAATTCAACTAGATCTATGTACGGATCTAACGCCAAACAAAATCAATCGATCCTATCAAAAAGAAACAAATATTATCGAAACAATACAAAAGAAAAACAAACGTACGAGATGAACCGGAGCTTTGATGTGTTTAACGAGCGAAGAGCTGCACTGATTTTCTTTAACGTCGTGTTTATGGTGCTTCTTGATGAACTCTTCTTCCGTCTTACTGAACTTGTTCCCGTTCATGGCGATGTAATCATTGGTCACCAAGCAGAACCCTGGACCGAGGAAAAAAGAGCGGCGGAGGAAGCAAACGCCGACAGCGGGAAAGTGGGGGGAGGATTTAGCGGGTTCGGGTACAGTAATAGGGAAGTCCGGGGAAAGGTCCGAAACAAAACGACGTCGGGTACTGTTTATCCGTGGTTATTATTTAGCGCGACTGGAGGTTTTGGATTTTTGCCGCAGTCTTGAGTTTTGATAAGGTCAAAAGGATTTTGGACGGACGTGGTTAAAGTCAAAACGGCTGCGTTTTTAGAGGTTTTTTGCTTTGCGTTGGGTCTTCGAATTATTGGGCCGATTCTTTAGCCCAAAATTTGGGATATGAGGATTGAAATTTGATTCGAGTTTTAATTTGAAGTTAGTTTAAATTGTTTTAAATTAATTTTTTTACTAATCTATGGTATTTATGAGTGTTAGTATTTATTCTGAAAATTAAATTATTCGACGATAACATTCAAATACTCTACAGTGACTGGTGCTCAAACCTGACTGGAACATATAAGAATATCAATCATTCTTTTAACCACTAATATTACTTAGTTTGTGATATTTAATTCAATTAAATTGTATTTTTGTTAAAAAAAAAATTATACTCAAATTTTAATTTTATGATTTATTCAAATATAATTGTTGACTAAAATGAAAAAAAGGATTATTTTGTGTTTTATTCAATTTTGTTATTTTTTATAGAGATTTTGGATTCGAACATCGATATTTGTAATGTGTGTGACATATAATTAATTGATTGAGAGAATTCTAAACAAATATTATCTTGTAATCACTTTAGACTGATAAAAAACTATCAATAACTTGAGAGTCAATGAATGGATAACTATCTCTCAAGCAAACGGATTTTCACATGATAAATTTTTTAGTTAATAAAATATAAGAGTATTATTCTCAACTAAACGCGACATTAAGTATTATTTTTAAAACATAGTTAAATGATCAAAATATAAATAAAGTATGACTCTTATTATAAATTGGTCCCTAAACTTTAAATATTTTGATTTCATCCTTAAATTATGACTATCATTATAAATTAGTCATTAAACTTTTAAATATTTCAATTTCATCCCTAAACTATGATAATCCTTCTAAATTGCTCCCTAAAATTTCCAATTTCATCACAAACTATATGTATATACTAATCACATCCATTGTTAATAAAACTGTTAGGCCAAACCATTATATTATATGTTTGAAAAAAAAAAATTAGGTTGAACTATGGTTGAAATTAAATACATATTTTGATGGGGATGAAATTAGAATATTCAAAACTTTGAGAACTAATTTAGAAAGAGGGTCATAATTTAAGAATGAAATTAGAATGTTTATAAGTATAAAGATTAATTTAGAATAAAAATTATAATTTAAAGATATATAATATTTGAAATCTAACAGCAATTGTATGCTGAAAAAACTTGATCACAAAAAACATGAATGTAAATGTTGTAATCTTAATTAGCAAGAAAATCCCACAACAAGTCAGCATCAAAAGACGGCATTTTAGCGAGCAAATCGTCCTCGAACCGCGGCTCATCTACCGTCGTCATCGTCGGATAATCATTCGAGACGGAGGCCGGCGAATTCTCAGCTCTCCGAAACCCATCGCCCGACACGATCGACGACACCAACCCGTCGCTTAAACCGTCGCCGAAAGGCGACGACGACGAACACGCGGCACGATCGTCGTCGAAGCCGCCTTTCTTGGCTTTCTTCTTGGCTCTCTCCGTTTTCATCTTCTGACGAATGGATTCGATCTTGGCATCCACCACGTTCCTTAAAGCATTCAACGCAGCACAATCTACGAACCCAAACTTGCTGGGATCGTTTAGGTTCGGGAAATTCAGCCTCGCGTAATCCCCTCTGAGCGTATAAGCTGCTCGATCATATGCCAAAGCGGCGGTCTCGGCCGTTTCGTAGGTGCCTAGCCACACTCGCTTCCTCTTCTGTGGGAGTCTGATCTCCGCCACCCATTTGCCCCACTGCCTCTGCCGTACGCCTCTGTAAAGCTTCTTCTTTTGAGGACCGGAGCATTGGCTCGTCGATTCATGGTTTTGGTAGCTGAATCTTTGAAGGACGTCTCTTTGGCGGTGGTAGACCGAAGAGCCTAATGGCTCATTGACGGCGGCGGCGTTTGCAGATGACGGTGGTGCACAGATAGAGAAGATTGAATCTATGGTGTTTGAGCCTCCTGATAATATGAGCTCTGACAGGAAAGACCCAATATTTGTACCATTGTTGAATCCACAAACATGGTTGGTTTCTTGCATAATTGACCCCCAAAAAAAATAAAAAAAAACCCAGATTTGGTAGATAGAAAACGAAGGAACTAAATAATAGTAATAACTTGGAGAGTTTTCAGAGTGCAGGTTCCAGCCTCGTGTATTTATAGCTGCACGGCAAAGCAAATCTTACGTAACTTTTGGGTAAATATAAATTTTGGTACTTGATTTTAGTATTAATTTATTATACGGTACTCAATTGCCAAAAAAATTGAGTATCGCTTTGCACATAAATGTCAAAGTTAAGTAATGTAGCTTATATTTATCTTAAAAGGATGACGTAATTTCTTAGTATATCCCTGAACTATGATCCAGTTTTATATTAGTCTCTAAACTTTTAAATGTTCTATCAATAGCCAAACTATCAACATCATTTCATTGATAATTTAGTTAACGTTTCATTAACTCTATTGGTTAAAATAATACCATTTTTAAAAGTCTTAAGAATTAAACATGTGATGTTCTAAAAAAACTTAAAACATTAAAAAACATATTAATTTTTAGAAGGTCATTTGTTCAATTTTCATGACCTTAAAAAATCAGAAGAATTAACGACATGTTAACAAAATCAAAATGGATTGATACGGATAGTTTCACAACTGATATAGAATTGTTTACAATTTATGAACTAATTTAGAATGGAAGTAAATGTTTAGGGTCTAAAAAATAACATCACAAAAATTACGAACTGGCTTAAAATGATGGTCATAACTTAAGGATATACTACACAATTAGCCCTAAAATTTTTCAAGGTCAAAGTATATAATTAAATTACCCATAAATATTGCATACAAACACTAAGTTCTAAATATATTTAAGAGATGATAATCGAATTAAGATTCAACTAATTTGATTATGTTACATTCTATCTAAGTTTTAAATTATTTAGTTTAAAAATTTTATAGTATGATATATTTTTTATAAACCACCTATTTTCGATTTATTTATTGATTAATCTGGACCAAGTATTACAGAGACGAGGACAATCCTCTCAACCCAGTTTACTCCATTCACAATCGTCAAAATACGAACCCCTAACCTTACTTAAAAAAATTTGTACCTCATCCCACTAGGTCAACCGATTGTTGGTATAGTATGATAATTTTAGTAAAAGGTGAAATCAAAATTTAATACTTTTTTTGTAAAATTATCTTATAATTTATTTGTGTTAACTATAGTGAAATTATTGTATGCTATTTGTGAGTATTATTTAGGTCTTTCTACGTTGACTTGTAGTAAAGTACATGTCGGATTCGACAGTGGAATTTTACAGAACAAAGTCAACTACGTAAATGTGAACTTTCTCTTACATTTTTTTTTGTCAATATTTGTGAGTTTATATAGTGATATTTTAAATAAAATACATAAATTATTTAAGATTGTTCAAATTCCAAAAATAAAACGTAAATAATATACGAATTCATGACTTTCAATAGATAATAATCGATTTTAATTTCTCTCTCCTCCGTTAAAGGAAAAGTGCATACCGAATTAACTAAATATATGAATTCTCAGTTGTAAAAATAAAAGGGTAAATACACAATTGGTCCTCCGATTATAGAATATTATTTTATTAAGTCCATCATTATTAAAAGTTATAAATTAGTCCTCAATTGTAGAAAGTTACTTTGTTATGTCCTCGACTATTAAAAGTTACAAAATTGCCACCCAACCATTTATTATATTCCAAAATAGTCATTTTTCGTTAAAATATTGGCATTTGTCTAAGTTGGACGTTAACATGATTACTGAGGTATGATAATCTTTGATATTCTAGGATCATATTTTATCATATCACAGTCAACATGTTAACGTTCAACTCATAATACTATCAATTTTTTAACAAAAAATAACGAGTTTGATCATAATAAGTAGTTTGATGGTCATTTCGTAACTTTTAATAGTTAAGGGATTGAACAAATCAATACTCTATAGTTAGAGGACCATTTTATAACTTTTAATAATCAAAAGACTTATTAAAATAATACCTTATAGTCGGAGGACTATTTGTGTACCTTACCCAAAATAAAATTGCAAACCAAATATATACGTGTAAAAAAAAGGCTTGGTTTTTGCGTTGCATGTGAAGCAAACCTAATTGTCGGTTCAAAAGTCAACGGTCCTTTGACTCTTGTATTACGTTAGTGGGGTAATTATTATGTACGACAGTCTAATATAAAACTAATGAAGTACATTATCGAAAATGTTAATATTTTTTAATATTTTCAGTAGAATGTTACTTAAAATGTTATTTTTTATACAATAAATGTTAATTTCTCTATTTAAAATGAATATTTCTGATATTTATATTTTTAATAAAAAAATAATATTTTAGGTAGCGCTTTACCAGAAATGTTAAAAAATATTAACATTTCCGGTAACGTCTTTTCTTAACCTTATATTAGTCTGTTTTTCTTTAGACATCCGTTTGTTAGTTGACCTTTTTAATTTACTAATGCTAGTCCTATTTATTATCAAATTTACGATAAGAGAAAATTTAAAAAAAAATGACCAAGTCAATGGCCACCAAGCAATTAATTGCACCATCACTTTTTTTAGGTCAAGATAAGTTGTTGAATGAAACTTCATATTCATACGACATATTTTAAGGAAAATATTAATGCAAAGCATGCATATGTAAGTGTTATAAACTAATAAAGTCATTAGTTTTGATCTGTTTAGTACTTAAATTATTAATTTTGGTTCGTTTTAGTATTTAAATTTTTAACTTTTTTAAAATTATACCTAAATTTTATTTTTTATTTCATTTTAGTATCTAACCGTTAAAACCTTTTGTTTTTGTTTCATTTTAATATCATCGTTCAAAATTTAACATTAAATTTTGAAATTTTTGACAGTTTAGGTACTAAAACTGGTAATTTTGGTATTAAACACGTTAAGTTTTTAACGACTGTTTTTTAAAATAAAATGAAAACTAAATGATAAGCATGATTTAAAAAAATTAAATACTAAAACAAATCAAAACTAATAGTCTAAGTATAAATGCATAATTTATCCTTCTTTAGAACATTTAGACGCGGACAGAATTGTCCTCATCATCCCATTGATATTATAGTTATGAAAATGAACGAATCTCCAATATGCCGACCTAAGTGAAGCATGGATAATATAATTAATGTGGTGGGCACTATTTTTTTCACACTTATTAAAAGTGGGTTTATGAAAAGGAAATTATCAATTGAATATAACCTTTTTTAGGTGACCCTTATTCTCATATGTAATATGGTAAGGGGAGGTAAATAGTAGGTTGCTCCCAACGTCAGGTTGTGAGCAGCTTCCATAGGAGACATCTGAATTATGAAATACCCTCCGTAAGACTCGATCCAACGACCCCAAGATTAAGAGCCTTGTGCTCTACCAACTAAGATTGATGGGTCATTTCCAATTGAATACAACTTTAATCACCCAATTAAATGGTTGACTTCATTATGTGTTCATCATCATTTCACAGGTATTTTTGCAATTGCGTCCAACACCACACAAAATTTTGGGGCTAAGAATGGTTGCCCATTTTGACTTAATGGACCTCCTCTTTTGTCAACGCTTTTTTTTTTATTATTTGCTTATCTTGTGCTTCATTAATTATAAAAAGGATTATAATAATGAATTTGAAGTTCAAATCAAATTGATTGGTTTAGGTTAAGCTATATTAGTAACTATTTAACTATTCTGAGAGATTATAATATGATCATTAGTCATTTAATATTTGTTAGATGAACTGATGTGATAATTAACAAAAATAAGTACAACGATTTTAATATTAAGTTGAACATGTTAAGGCAGAAAGTATTAGAGGTCTTTACATTTTTGAAAAAAATCAATATAGTTCTAGTATTGTTCTTTTTAACTTAGAAAATAAACATAATGTGATCATTTGATCAATTTTTTTTTTTATCATTTGACCGTTATGGTACTGACATGGTAGTTCACGGTAATGATGTAGCATTTCATTTGTTATGTTTGAGTTACCAAATTTAGTTTATCTGTCGTGTTATCTGTTACGTTATCAATCATCTTAGACTGTCAAATCAATACAGTGAACTGTCACATTAACACTGTAATGGTCAATAACGAAAAATATTGATCAAATGACTATATTAGATTTATTTTCTAAATTGAAGAATAAAAAAAATTATACAAATGTAAGATTATTTTTTTATAAAATGTAGTATTAACACAACTAATCTTTGAAACAATTCCAATAAGTTAACGACTGGTCAATTCTATAATCCATAGGCAAAGTAGGTTTAGACTGAACCGTTGGAGACGGTCGAAACATGGCCAACCATGGTTCGTGCTTATTTATATGTGAACGGTGGACCAAGGCGGTTTGAAAAACTTTGGGTTAGCCTTGTCTTCTCGTTATCCATTTGAAACTGACTTTGACTTTAGCTCGCCACGCGGCATGATCTGAGGATTAACCCCGACACTAGGTTTGACTTGTTATAGCCATGAGGGCTGAGTGCACCGCCGGGCTGACGGGGAGAGAGATAGGTTTACAGATAGCGTTATCATATTCTTTCTTTTTTCAGATATAATGGCCGTGAATTATGATGTTCTCATTTCAAGTAAACTTATGCTGTCTTTTTCTTCGACTTTATTTTCTTGTCAAATCTCAAAATTTAGTTGATTTAATGGAACACATCGGCATTGGTATATTATTTTATTAAGTCATTTGATTATTAAAAGTTATAAAATAGTGTTTCGATTATAAAATGTTATTTTGTTGAGTCCCTAAATTATTAAAAGTTATAAAATGACTACCTACTATTTATTATGTTTCAGACTTATCCTTTTCCGTTAAAAAATTGACGGTTGTTTAAGTTAGACATTAATATAATGATTGAGATATAATAATTGTTTGAGATTTTGAGATCAAAATTTATTGTATCATAATCAATAAATGAATATTCAGTTCAAAATATTATCTATTTTTTTAACGAAAAATGGCAACTTTGAAAAATAATAAATAACATAATGATCATTTTGTGATTTTTAATAGTCAAAGGACTCAACAAAACAACACTCTATAGTCATAGGATCATTTTATAACTTTTAATAATTGAATTACTTAAAAAATAATATCTAATAGTCGGAGGACCATTTTTGTTCTTTACCCTATATATAATTATCCTATTTATTATGGTTAAAATTTTATAATCTAATTAAAAAATTCATCATTCTAATTTACGTGAACTACAATATTACCCTTTAACGTGTAAAAAAATTTGATCCTCATATTTTATGAAAATAAAAATATCAGTCTAATAAGTATAAAATTAATAACATTCAACTGTTCAACAATTCATATGCAACAAATTAGAAAAACTAGTTAAAGTTTGTATATTAATCCAAAATTTTGATTAATTTTAAATTTTTGTAATTTACAAGGACCAAATCATAATAAATTAAAATAACAGGACCAACTTATCAGTATTCATGAAGTAGAGATATGAAATATAATAGACCGAAATATTTATCCATTTGTCTCATAAAACAATCCATTTTCATTGAATGTTCAAAATTGTAAAATATTAAATTAAAAAAAATATTAATAGTTACCTTAGACCCAAGTATAAACTAAACGAAAAGAGCAGAAAGAGCAACTCCTCCATAAGTCTGAACAGAACAACCCACTTTAGGATCCCGATTTGGTCAAGCATTCGGCTTGTTTACACTCTTGTACATGTCATCAACCGAACTCTGCATGCAAAGAACATTGATCAGTTCTCCCGCACATATATCGCACGCTATGTTACTCGAACTCGAGCGGAAATGCCGGATACAGGTCGGATATAGGGATGATTAATCATTCCCCCATACCCTGTACGGATATCCGAATATCGGATACGAGTATCCAAGGGATCGGATATTCGAAGGCAGCATAGGTTGTGCATGAAGGCACGTGCATGCACCACATACACTGGGAGATCTGAACTAAACAAGATGTTCATCCGTGTATGCATGTCGTATCTCGTGTTCTTTTTGTGTAAACCATGTATATACAAGTTCAATAGACGAACTAATCATGTTTTGTTGCGCTGCTTTTGTGTTAATTAACCGAAAAACCGAAGAGAAAGGAAGTACCTGATAATACTTGAGCAGTTGAGACCTCTTCTTCTTAAATGTTGGGGTGAGAAGGTCACGGTCCATGTCAAATGGTGCATGGTCAAGATGGACGGCTTTTATGAATTCAAAACCTTTCAGCTGTGGAAGATAATCAGAAGTATAACAGTTTAATAACCAATGTTCAAGCTTTTCTGGTATAACAGTGGTGAACTAGTGTTTCATGAAACAGGATATAAAGTGGGAAAAAAAGATCAAATGAAAAACCTGTTTCTCTTTGCCTGTCTTAGTGAGCTCCCCGAGTATGTACTTTTTGGCCTTGGGATCTTTACAGATGGACTCAAAGTTGCCGCTTCCACCATTGTCGGCGGCCCAGCGTTCGAGTGCTTGCTTATTCGGGTTAACAACAGCAACAAGGAAGGACTCAAAGCTGTTCCCATAAACCCATATCTGATATTGGTAGAGATGAAATGTAAAAGGATGTCAAACTCGAGCAGATAAAACGAGTCTAAAAATCAACAACAACTAAAAGGCATACCGATTCGACAACAGATGCGGAACTGTAAACATTCTCCAGGTTCTCAACAGCAACGTATTCCCCTTGCGACAGCTTAAAAATGTTCTTCTTTCGATCGATAACTTTCATGCTTCCATTCGGTTGCCACTCACCGATATCCCCTGATGCACAAGATGAATTCAGGTCATCAACTTGGAGATAAGATAATGATGCGGAGAGAACCTCAACTTAAGAAGAGACAAGTATGAGAAGACCTGTGTGGAACCACCCATCAACCAAGACCTCATTCGTGAGATCTTCACGTTTGTAGTACCCTGAGAACAGGGTTTTTCCCCCGAGACAAATTTCACCTCGTGGTGTGCTTGCGAGGGCATCATATCCCATTTCAGGTACAGATTCTAGACGGACATCTATATTTGGTACCGGAGGCCCCACAGTACCAAGCATCGACAACTCATTCGGTAACGAGACAAAAGTTCCCGCACAAGTCTCTGTCAGGCCTACATTCAGATCAATATAAAATAGATAAGCATTCATGTGGCAGCAAGAATGCACACAATCCGTACAGAAGAAGGAATTATCAGATCTAAAGAGGCTTAACAGACGGCATACCATATCCTTGCATAATATGACAACATGCCACCACTCGTAGGAACTCCTCCACATGAGGAGAAAGAGGTGCTGCTCCGGATAGAATAATCCGCAAATTCCCTCCTAAACTTTCTTTTACCTGACAAAATTATGAACATGAATGAGATTGAAGAAGTACGAAAGGATTTCTGTTGCAGGTAGAGCCAATCATTATTGGCTTTCAACTGATATACACAAGGAGCCTCGTACGCATTTTTATACAACAAATAAGATTTTCATCACCTGTCTAAATACAATTTTGTCAGAAAAAGGAGATGCATCCCCATGTTTGGAGCCATTCCTCATGTTATAGAATTTGCTGTAGAGGTTATCATAAATGTTAGAACCAAACATCAATTCAGAAATATGGATGGAAATTAACTGGGTACAACAGAAATAATTAAAATCAATGTGAACAAACACTAACCCTTATTAGTTGGCACTGCTAAAACACAGTAACAAGAAATTAAAGGATATAATACAAACGATATAAACTAATGCCAAAGCTGATGATAAAGTTTAATGCCTGAAAGGATTGAGATAAATCTAGTTTTGTCTAACTAGGAAAAAAGATCACCGTGGTGTACAAAAGGCAATTGTTCTTTGTTCATAATTAGCATCCAACAGATACAAGGAACTGCTTCACATGAGCAAACTGAAAATTTAACTTACAATGAGTATGCCGCATTAAACAATGTCTTTTTGAATAAGCTTCCCTCAGAAACCTTCTGTTGTAAACCTGACAGCATACAAAAATTATGGCAGGTTCACAGCTATATTGATAATTCATTGAAGTCTTTTTGAAAGAAATGTTTCAACGTAGTTCATTTTGTTTTACAAATTACACGTTAAAAAAGAAAGAAAATATAATTATCTTAGAAAGAATATGAATGAGAGTTCCAAAATTAAATCAAGACCATTTTCAAGTACACGTTCCAGATTGCTTACTATAACCTTTAAAAAAAAACCCAGATCCTAGAATCTTCTTTAAATATTTATACGTGTTTAGAAAGAATGCTGGAAATCCATCTCCACAATACATTTTAGTATTTAAGAATTACCTGAATAGATTCGATCCAACACACGAGGAACAACACAGAAGATGCTTGGCTTTAGCTCCCCAAGATCTTCGACCAATAGTTTTATGTCCTGAAGATGCAACAAATAAGCAATTACTAATTAGAATAAACTCCAGTAGCAGTAAGATCGAATAATCTTGCTCACCCCTCGCCAGAATCCTATTGAGGCACCATGTGAAATAAATAACTCCTCGATCACCCGGTCAAAGATATGTGCAAGAGGAAGATAAGAAATATAAACATCCTTCATTGTCAACTGTAAAATTTCACAAGACATGAAAAAAATTAGTGAGGGAAAGCAAAAAAGAGAGAAATCATAAGCGAAATTTTAGTGTCGGAAACAGAACAGACATGTCAAACAAAGTGAATGGTGAAATGATTTGCCTTGGAACCAGGAAATTAAATGCAAAAATAACCTGTTCATTTACACGCTCTAGAAGGTTATTCACCCCTGCTATAAGAGTAACGATACTCTCATTTGTAATCAATACTCCCTTGGGATCACCAGTTGTTCCACTGGTATACATTATTGTGCAGACATCACTTTTCTTCTTTATTGGAAGATCATATTGTTTATTTTCTCCCTGCAAGAAACAGACATCAAAACTTAAATCAGAAACAGCAGCCATCTAAATGTTAAAATGTAGTATTGTGTGATTAAATCCATATGCTAATTAATCGAAGATGCATGAGACATGGTTATCAAATAATAATTATAAAATAGTGGGAAATTCCTTCAACGTCCTAAAACCAGAATGAATACAAAGAAAATGACAACTCACATATAGAATCAAGATGCTAAAATTATGGAGGCAGGGCCATTGCAAGAAAATGACAAGGATCCTTAGCTCACACTAATAGATTTGCAAATTGCAATGCAATGCCAGAAACACTATTTCTACAGCAATAATAGTTACTTTACTCTGAACTCATGACTAAAATTACTGGCGGTCTGCTAAAAAAGACACAATAACTCAGCAGTATAAAGTTATTTACAATAAACTGAAGAGGAGAATAACAGAGAAAGTAACCAACCAACACCAAAAATTCCTCCCATGCAAATATTGCCAAGCCATGCTTCTCAGCTTCTGCCTTCTGATCAGATGATACCTTCCCGAAGCTAACAATTGCTGCATAGCCAATGTATATGCACATAAATTGTTTCAAACACAATAGAATAAAAATATCCCGTCCCCTTCTTCCAAAACAAAGAAATAACTTACTCCTCAGGTACTTTGTTGAGTTTGGAAATGTTTTAAATAGCTGAAAGGGAAAAGAGAAACCTTGCATGAGAAAAGAACTATGTACCTGCAAATTCTCAGATGAACACCAACTAACAAAACCGACCAGCGTTTATAAAAGCAAATGCTGATAATAGAAAACTAGAAACTTATTTCGTACAGAGATATCTATTTTTGAAAATACACAGAGAAAACATCCTTTCCCCCTTGTTCCCGCATCCCAAAACAATCCTAGGATTCCAAATATAGATGTAACTGTGCTTACTTCGGCAATCTTCTTTTCCTCCACAAAAGCAATCGGAACTTCTGCATGGCATATGATAAACTCCACAGCACCAGCACCTACAATATGGATGACAGAGAATCAAACAATCATTAACAGTATACAGTGGTGTTGAGATACACTTATCATTAAAAGAGTTTAAAGATGTTACAGGTAACAACTAAGACCAGGTTAAAAAATGAGGGAGGCTAGATAACACACATAGGATTGTTGTTTGCTGAAAGTTGCTATTTAACGAAATACAAAGCAGCTTTTTTAGGTTGTCAAGAAGAAATACCTAAAGAGTCATACAAAGGAACACAAGAGAGTCCATGAGCATTGCAGGCCTGCATCAATGTTGCTGCATTAGTAAACTTTTTTGGGGAACAAACATTTTGGTAGTGAAGAGGGTGCTTAGGAGAAACTAATTTATGCAAGTCAAACAAAAACATGCCGGAATAATAATACCTCCATGGTCATTATCCACTCTGCGCAATTGGCACCATAAATACCACATTTTCCTCCCTGCCAGCAAAAATTAAAACCATAAAATTTAAAACATACACATAAACTGCAGCTGTTGTTAATTATTGATGAAGCATTCATTTTTATGATAAAAACTTTTACAATAACAAAAAGTTAGTGTACTACCTTCTCAATACCAAAACTCCGGATGGATTTCCCCACTTTTATTACAATGTTATAAACTTCTTTGTAAGTTTGCCACACATATTTTCCAGCCTGCAGTCAAAACACATAATTTTAGATACACAGACTAAAAGTCAAGGTCGGTGGTAGAAGCAGAATGCAAAAGCAATAATAAAAAAAAAAAATCAGCAGTGGAAGGCTGGCAGCATACTTTCCCGTCCACAATCTGCCGGTGACCAAGCATCGGGTTGTCCGGATATTTCTCAACTGACATTCTGCAAAGAGAAGATTAAATATGAATCATTGTCATAAGACATAAAGCAAGATTAAAAAAGGAAAGGAAAAAAAACATCCCTTTTGTAGCATAACAAATACGAGCTGTGTTAGTTAGTTAACACGTTCAATCATACATGAACATAATGCAAGTTATAAAGCATAAAATCTTAATCTCCACATCACATGAACAATGAGCTTCAAAACCGATATAGTTACTACAATCAAACACATAAATCTTAGTTCTACAATTCTACACCAAGTTGAATGAAAGCCACCAATCATTGAACTAAAAGACTGGAAATCTCAACACCTTGATCTATATTATGCGTCTTTAAAATCTAAATTTTTCAAGAAGTAGGCATTTCGATAATACAACCAAATCTTACGATCCGTAAAATCAATATTTTCGTAGCAACCAACAAAAAAGAGAGAGAAAGCTAGAAATCTAACCGAAAAATATCCCAACAACAGTCCATTCCAGGAATCGGAGCAGGGAATCCATTCTCGGCAAAACGACTCCGATAAACGGGGCCGATCGACGGTTTTCCATCGGTGGCGGCCTTCCCTTCTTCTACCTGTATTATATAACTCTGCTGAGCCATTTGATCAAAATGGTTCGAATCAGAAACCTCGTAACTTTTTTTCTTCCTTATATATTCTCTCTTTCACTTGTTTAGATTATATATAAACATGAAGAAGTTTTGTATATATATATATATATATATATATATAAGGCGTTAGAAATTAGGTCTCTGTTGCTTTGAGTGATCGGCAAGCCCAAACACGACAGTTAGTTACTTTTTGGATGACAGAATGCAGTTCTGTTTGTTTTATATGACTTTAATCATAAATAGAGTCTTAATAAAAACAAGGGTAAAACATAAAAATAGTCCTCAAACTTTTAGGATACTTGCATTTTACTCACCTAACTTTTAAAACTTATAATACAATCATCGAACTTTTAGTTTGTTTTTATTAACGCCCCTACCGTTACCTCATATTAGTTTTTGATGATGTGACAGTTAACTCTGCCATTTTTGCTAACATGGTAGATACCCCATCTTCTTTTCTCATAATTCTTGAGAGAAAAACCCTCACAAAGTTTGAAACTTACAATACAATCATCGAACTTTTAGTTCATTTTTAGTAAGGCCCCTACAATTACCTAGTTTTTGATGATGTGGTAGTTAACTCTGCCATTTTTCTAACATGGTAGCTACCCCCTTCTTCTTCTCTCACAATTATTGAGAGAAAAGCCCTCACAAAGCTTGAAACTTTGACATTATTGATGAGACCTTCAAAGCTTCAAACTTTAACCCATTACATAAAATCAATCAGTATATCTAAGGAAATTTCCATTTTGATTTCACCACTGAATCCATTTAACCACCAATCAATGTTGCCTTTGTTATTCTTTTTCCTTTCCATTTCTACCATTTCTTCATCTCTTTGCCACCATAGTTCTCCATTGTTACTTGAAATATCTCTTTTCTTCTTATTCTTTGCTAGTTCTTCACAAAATTCTTCTTTACTCCATTCTCTCGACTTCCTATTCCTATCTTTTTTTTTCCGAATCTTTTTTTTCCAAGACCTTGCTTCCATCGCCAATCTCTTCTAGAATCACCCTTTTTGTTATTAACCAAATCTCTCCCACTTTCTACATTAACCTTGTCAAACAACCTTTCAGGTAGAACACTCCCATTTTCCAATCCCATCTCCGGTGAAAAAGCCTGCGACGCCTCGAAATACAAAACTCTAAGCACACAACTTTTCGACGACCTATGATTGTCGACAACTTTCAAGCTCGTTCCTTCTTCGAAACCAGTTAAAACACTTTATGTTTCTTCTAAATCGATTGTTATCTTCTACGTTGACTTCACCTTCTTCAAGCCTTTCAACTATGTTTCCTGTTTTGTAAATTAGTTTCCCATTGCTATAGACTTTGACTTATCAAGAAAAAGAAAAAGAAGAAGTGTATAAAGGGTTTGGAGCTTTGAAGGTCTCATCAATGGTGTAACACCTCGAATCCTGGGTTAATAGTTCGAGTAAACTCGAAGCCTAAAGTTGAGCCCAATTGGACCTTATAAGATAATTGGACCCAATTTAGTGTTTTTGGGCTTGAGTATGGGCCTAAGAATTAGTTGGTAAGAGATTAATGTCTTAGGAAATAGAAAAAAGGGGGACTAAAAATGCAATTTACCCAATTTTAATTGAAAAGCTGAAAACTCCCCTATTTTATGAGGTCTACATGAACAACTCCCCCATTTCCCACCAAACACTCATATTCTTCTTTTATATTGTCTCTTTTCTTCTCCCATCTTCAAGTTGAAGGATTTAGGACTTCAAATTTAGTTTGGGTCAAGAAAAAGTAAGATTATTAACCCTCACCCTTCAAGCATCATTTTAAGCTCCATTTCACTAGTTTTTATCCATGGAAAAAATGGGTTTTGAGAGGTTTGTGAGAATCTATGGATTCTAGCTATGTTTTGGGTTATAAGGAGTTATTTAGGATGTATCCAACCTTTAGATGGATTAGTAATCCATTTTCTTACCTTGTTTAGTGAAGGAAGTGAGAGAGAGTTCCATATCAAAAGGCAAAGAAAAGTTGAGCATTAGTTGAGTTGAGGAGATTTCTAGCCACCAAAGAAGCAAGGTAACACTTTTACAACTCTTTTATACTCTTAATGAGTCATTAGAAGTTCAAAATAGATTAAATGTTTTAGTTGAGCATGATAAGCATTTTCATGGTGAAATTCTTGTTTTAAAGTTATAAATGTATTTAAAGCCTCTATTATGACCCTTATTGATGGGACTTCACTAAGGTTTTTGGGATTGAAATATAGCATTTTAATATGTGTTTTATGACTATGTAGGCAGAGTATCAATGTTATTGGGATAGTATCGATACTTGTTCTTTGTTTTGGGCAAATTCGTGAGTTTTTGGGCAAAATTATCAATACTCTTTCAAGAGTATCGAAACTTTGGGTCATATTTTCGAAACTTCCATAAAGTTTCAAAACTGGACATAATAGAATGTTTAAAAGTATCGATACTTTTGCAGGAGTATCGATACTCTTGGGATAGTATCGATATTTTTATTCTGTTTTGGGCAAAAATGTAAGTTTTAAGGGAATTAGACTCAAGGTACCCCAACGCTTCTTCTTATCATAAAATAAGTCTACAAGTGAAAATATTAATGATATTAATATTAAACTTAGAAACAAAATAATTAGGATAACATAAAAATAACTTTGGATGATGCTCGGGAAATGATCAGTACACCCGAGTTCCTTTAGAAAATACTAGCATTATCGAAAGTATAGATTCAGTCCGTATATATCCTTAGGTAGTGCACGAGGCACTTAAAGCTAACTAGCTTGGGCTCAAGGTCCGACACTCAAGGAGTATGCTAGTCGAGGGGGTTGACCGATGTAGAGATTACGGGCAACCAACCTCGGTAGACTAGATGGGTGTGTGAGCTCCGAGATGCATAACCCTCAGTCGCACCATGATGTCTACCATAGAGTAGAGAGTGCAATATACGAGTATACTCACTATTTCAGTTTATCAGTTAGCTTGAGCATGTCATGAACACTTTTAATATGTCTTAGTTGCTAGTGTGACACTAGGCTAGTAAGCTCAACGTTTGGAATTTGTTTCCTTACGCAGATTAGACGAGGAGCAGTCTGAGGACTTTTTGGGACATTAGTGATCCAGACCCAGTACGTCTCAGGTAATCTTTATAGAGGGCATGTATATCTGTGAACTCTTTGTATATTTTTGTATGGGTCGTTTTTAAGCGATGGTCTGTATGATTTGAAATAGTATTTTTGGGAGCTCCTAATGTAAATCATTTTATTTAAATTGTGGTTGATTCATTTTAGCGTGATTGTTTACAAATTGTTGTTTCTTTTTTTATGGAGAAATTAAGAAAAAAAAAATCGGTTAGCCACTTCAATGGTTATGTGTGGCATTCTGGTCGGTCGATTGTGTGTCGTACTGGTCTAGGGTGTTACAAATGGTGTCAAAGTTTCAAGCTTTGTGAGGGTTTTTCTTTCAAGATTTGTGAGAGAAGAAGAAGTCAGGGAAAGGGGTTTAATTACGACGTCGGTAAGAACGACGGAGTTAACTGTCGCGTCATAAAAAACTAATGGGAGGTAACGACATGAACCTTACTGAAAATAAACTAAAAGTTCAATGATTGTATTGCAAGTTTTAAAAGTTGGATGACCAAAATGCAAATGCCCTAAAAGTTTGGGGATTATTTGTATACTTTACCTTAAAACAATTTCTTATTTAGTATAAACTTAAGGGTAAATTACTTATTTAGTCACCCAACTATTATTATGATTCTATTTTGATCATCTAATTATTTATTTTCTTTCATACCCTTTATTTATTAAGTGTAAATTGGGCACAAACTAAACGACCTCGGTAGTAAAAGAATTGTTATTCCTTGAGATTTCGGGTTTGAGCACCATGAATATCAGGGGTGTGAGCGTTTAATGTCAAATGATTGAGAGTTAACTTTGACAGATATTATTTTTATTTATCCCTGATTAATAAAAAAAATAAACGTAAATCAATAGAATCATTTAATATAATCAGATAAATAAACAATAATAACAAAAGCCAATTATTTTAAGGGTAAAGAACACAAATTGTCCCTCGACTATAAAGGGTGTTGTTTTATTAAGTCCATTGATTATTAAAGTAACAAAACGATCATTCGACTATAAAGTGTTATTTTGTTGAGCTATTTGACTATTAGAAGTTACAAAATGGCCACCAGACTATTCATTATGTTCTATACTCGTCATTTTCCTATAAAAAAAATAACTGACGTTTAAGCTGAACGTTAGCATGATGACTGAGATATGATAATCGTTTGAGATTCTAAGATCAAATTTTATCATATCACATTCAATAAGTTAACGTTCAACTTAGAATATCATCCATTTTTTAAAGAAAATGAACAATTTTTTAACATAATAAATAGTTGGGTGATCATTTTATAACTTTTAATAGTCGATGGACTCAACAAAGTAACACTTTATAATTAAAATACTATTTTATAATTTTTAATAGTCGATGAACTTAATAAAACATTATCTTGAGAGGACATTTGCATTCTTTACCCTTATTTTAATTGAGGATATGATTGATTTAACGATTTTTACAGTTATATTTCATATAAAATTGAAAAAACTGAGATTCAACACTATAATAGATGGATTAACATTATCGATGAATAAATTTTTATACATTATTAGTTTGCATATAATGCACGGGTCACTTGCATGTATAAATAACTTTTAACTTACTAACTAAAATAAAAAAAATCATTTAATTTTAATAATAAATTAATTGACTCATATTTGTCGTAAATAATAATAATAATAAAAAGTGTAATCAATTTAAGTACAGTTTAATTACACGAAGATGATAATTATTTGTTCTTAACGAACTATTAATTATCATTAATGAAAAATCGGCTTACCTAACATCCACCAGAACAAGGTCATTACTTTGAATTAATTAGGCATCTCACTTCTAGAAATAACACAAGTTTAATGAAGTGAAAATAACCATTATGGCATCACCTTGCTTGCAGATCACGGCACTTTCAGAACCATAGTTGTATGCCTACCGGCACGGACAGCCTTCAATGTATTCCTCGAACCGTATGTTCGATAATCCTAAAAGTATCCGTGTCCGATACTTGTTTTCAAATATATTCGAATACTGAATACAAGGATATGGTTTTCTAGGTATACGAGAGAACTCGCAAAAAAATGAAACATGTCCATGTTAGACACGTACCTATATCCGACACACCCCTAAGTCCAAGTAACATAGATTAATAAAGAAATCCCGTAAATTGGGGAATCGATCTCATAGCCAGACCGAAGCCTTGCAACATGTAATTTACTTTTTTTAGGAAAAGAAAAGTCTTGGGTGGAGGAGAATTCCCTAACAATGGTGAATGGGCTAAGAAATCACCTCTTCTTGTTCTTCTTCCTTCCTTTTACTTGTTTCTCTAATTGTCTAATCCGCTGACTGATAGTCGAAGAAGAAGATATGCTTTGGCTCGATACTTTTGTCGGTGCAGCAGCAGATGCTGAGGCCGATCCTTCTGCTGCTTTTCTAGCTTGTTGGAGAGTTTGTTTGAGAGCTGAATACAGATCAATAGAAGGTCGTTGTGCAGTAGCCGCTGGTTGTTTAGGTATTTCAGGAATGCCTAAAGCCTTCTTCACACCAGGAGCCTTAAGCACTGCCAAAATAAAATTTCCGAGGTCAGCGATATATAGACATAGTCGGAAATCGCATAAAAGAACGAGTCTCGTGCTACAGGAAACTTAAGGACTCACCTAGGCCGTAGGAGAGGGAAAACAAATTTGATGTGATCCAATAACAAAATATCGCCTGTAGAATAAATTGAGATGAAAGTATCATCAGCATACAAAACACACAAAAATGGCACTATTCACAGATACTATGGCGGAAAGAGTGCACCACAACAACAGCTTGTTAGAGTAGGCGATGCAAATGGATTATATGGGCTCGTTAAGGGAAACCGTGGTATAAAGCCGAAACAACCTATTCGAGTAAAAGAATCTTAATATTATTTTGACAATACCTTTGGGAAACTCATGGTAAATGGAACTGTCAAAAGAGCAAGCACCCTAGACACATTTTTCATAGTTGCAGCAGCAGGATTCCCTTCCATACCTTCTTGCATGTTACACTGCACACATTAATTAAAACAGAATAATGATTAAGAAAGGTATAGTGTAATGCGGTCCTGTAGTAAAATATCATCGAGAAAAAAGTACACTTGCCTCAACAGTTATCAAGAATGTCAGTGCTGTCAAAACTGGAAGGATGTACAAACTATCTGGAGTGGTGAGATCCGTAAACCAATATGCTCCACCGCTTTTGAAAGATGGCATTTTCTCAGCCATAGTTGTAATCTGGGGTAAGAGAGAAGTCATCGATACTAAATCTACATGAACTACATTTGATTCTAAGACAAAACCAGTAATACTACAAGAAGTATTTGTCTTACAGCTATGTAAAAGCTGACAAAGATGGGACCCTGAATAAAGAGCCCTTTCAGTGGAGTAAACGGTGTCACGCCATACCTGCAAACAATGGCATTGTCTGATAAAACCATCTGAGTGGACATTTAAATGAACCAGTATATCGAGTACGTTCCTGATCAACCGGAATTTAGATACATGCCAACCAAATGAACTCATGTCTAAGATACATTTGCTTCTGAACTTGTATGTATTGGTCAAAATCATTTAGTATCCTCCAAAACAGAATTTAAGAGATATTCTAACGTTAAGAAGCTTTCATGTATTCAAACTAAGATGGAGACGTTATAATGATGGATAAAGTTAAAATGCCGGATTAACTAAAAGCACATTTAAATGAATGTGAAGCTACCAACATATTCTCGCTTAACAAAATAGTAAATTGGAATTGCAAGCCAAGGACCTTCAGAAAGTCAAGAGATTATACTATGGAAAGTAATTAACTGATAGTAGATATTCAATCACGGAACAAACTGGTATGCGATCTATTATGAAGTCAAAGAGTAGTTTCAACAGGCATATGAGATTGTTATAATTGAAAAGTTGCTTACTCCTTAAAAAGCTTGGTCATTTCATATTGACCTTCAGCCATCGCTTGGGGATCTCCACCCTGCAGAAAAATAGGCAGACAATTGTTAAAATTTTATTCATACTATCGTAAAAGAAACAAAAACATCCATGGAATAAGAACGTGCTCCAAGCTTATGTAAGACCGCAAACAACAGCTTGCAATCAACATAGATTAAGTGGTTCAAAAAAGAACACAATCACAGAAGAAGCTGGCACCAAACCTTGCTTGCCATTTGCTCCCTGATTTCCTCAAGGCGTGGCCTCATTAGCTGCAGGATAAAATCAAATTAAATTGTATTAATTTTTTGTTAACCAAGCTATGTGAAAAAGAGAGCAGTCTTTAAATTGCAAAACTCAAGTCATTTACGAGGCGAAGGAATATCAAAAGGAAGATGTCCGTAATATAATTACAAAACAACCAGGACATAATCAGCATTATCAAATTTTCCAGTATTTCAATTTTACTGACTTGTAGCTTCATATAATCATCAAAATGTATATATGCTTAATTCATAAAAGGTCATAAGTAAAACATAAAAATAGTGTCCTGCATATAGACTTAGCCACTTAGGTGATACAAGAAAATAGTCAATGTATGCAGAGCACACTACTAGTAAAAGGAACATGAAGACGGAAACAAAGAGAAGTAAAATTACACACCGTCATCTTACTAGTAGCTTTAAGTTGATTAATCAAAAGCGGAAGAGTTGCTCCACGAATCAAAAGTGTTGTCACTGCTATGGCAGCCCACCTGAAATAAATAATAAACCACTGAGTCACAGTATACCATATTGTGCCAATTCACATCAGGGTTTATTTGTCATCATTTTGTCATCAATGCTGCATGGACATGAATCTTTATACTTACAGCCCTGATAGTATATGTTGCGTCTCTTTCAAGGAATTCAATTATAGCTTTAGATAAGTTGATGCATTGGTCTGTAAACCAATTGATCGAGTAATCATAATTTAGGGAATTTATAGTTCAACAAATTGGGTTTTCTATGCAATACACTTTGCCGAAACCATTTCCAATGAACAGAAACTGCATTCTTGGCATGTTTGCACAACTGCAAAACTATAAAGCAAGTAAAAGCGGCAACTTACCAGTTCAAGCCGGTAAAAGAATGAACCGCATCAATAACATGCTGCAAGGTAGCAACAGGTAACCAACAGTCAGCAGCAGCAACGGCAACCTCACTCACAGCAGGAGCCTGTGAAGCCACAGCTTCAACAACACCATCATTGAAAACTTCCGCAACGTCACCGATGAGCTCGAATTTATCTTCCTTATCATTAACTGTAGTCGACATATGACGATCAGATGACACGCCCGAGCCAGGAAGAAAAGATAGTGGGGGGCACATCCTATCTTGGAACAAGGCACCAAACCCTGAGGATGAATTACTAAACCCAGTTCCAAAAGACATTCCTCGAGCAAAATTAGCAAGTTTTTGATGAGATTGGAACTCGTTTGAGGGTTGATTTTTACGGTCGTCTTCATGGAGAACGTAAACGAACGAGGGTCGATATCGTCTAGCTATTATGGTTGCTCTATTGGTAAGACTACGCCTAAATGCCATTGATACGAAGAACTAAAATTCCTCAAACAAAGTAAAAGTAAAGAGAAGAAAATCAAATTAAAACCATAATCAAAGCAAGATAAACACGTCGAAATTAAAATTGATTCCTCAATTATCAATCAAACAAAATCACTTAGAAGTAGAATGTAGTAAGATTTATGAACCCAAAATCCAGGAATTTGAAAGAGAGTAAACTAATAAAATAATTCTAAATCCAAGAAACGAATGATTACCGATTCAATCTCTTGTACTGAGAAGAGAAAAGGTTTTTCTCAGGTGCTTAAAACGAAGAAGCCGCACTTCGAACAGAACAAGGGGCTTTAATTTAAGCCCCGCGTACCTTTTGGTAGGTAACAAATATCGTCCTTTTGCGGTATAAAGAATGGACCGCCGCCATTAACGGTTGTAAAAGGCTGATGGGTTCGCTTTCAACAATAGCCCATGAAAATTTATTGCCTAAAAATTAATAATTATTTTATAATAATATGATAAATTTAATGATTAATTTATAAAGTAAAGTATACAAATAAACCCTCGATTATATAATATTACTTTATCAAGTATGTGACTATTAAAAGTTATAAAATAATCATTCAACTATAGAATGTTCATTATGTTACAAATTCGTCTTTTTCTTTTTTAAAAAATTAACAGTTGTCTAAGCTAGACTTATGATGACTGAAATATGATAATCATTTGAGATTCTGAGATCTTATTGTATGATATCACATTCAGTGGGTTAACGTTTAGCTGAGAATATTATCGATTTTTTAAACAGAAAAGGATGAGTTTAAACATAATGAATAATCGGGGTGGTCATTTTGTAATTTTTAATAGTCGAGGCACTCAATAAAGTAGCACTCTATAGCCGAAAGATCATTTTATAACTTTTAACAATCAATGAAATTAATAAAGTAATATCCTATAATCGGGAGACCATTTGTGTACTTAACCTAATTTATATTAGTTTGGTAAATTTAATAATTATTTTTATAAATTTTAAATTTTCTGTGATTAAAATAAATTTAAAGATTTACCTCTCAAATGAATTATTTACATTTTCAATTTGGTTAGGATCTTATTGTCAATTGAATCAATTCCAAGTTATCATTTGAACATTGAGGTTTCCTTTCGTTTGCTGGCTCATGGAACGGTTCTCATTAAACATGGACATAAATGGAGTTTTTTATTTTGTTAAATCAATACGAAGGTTTAGTATATTATACATGTTTGAGCTTTAGAGGCTCTTGTTAGCATATAAAATTGATGAAAAGTTCATGAAACCACACCATCTACGAAGCTTTATTCGATCTCATTTGATGATTAAGACTTCTATGAAATCGTGATCGATCGATGGTGAATTGACGTTTTATATCTTGTAGATCCTAAAATAAAAATCATGATCTTAAGTGATTTTGACGATCAAACGGCAACAAATACGACGACATATGATTAGGAGGATTACAAAGACTACATCGATTGTGGTGATCGTGACCAAAAAAGACTGTAGTGACAGATTACGGTTTAGTTTTAGGAATTTTAAGGTTTTCTTATAATTTAAGAGAAATTAATATTTTTTTATAAATATAATAATATTTTTAATATTTTAAAAAATAAACTTTAAATTATTATATTGTGACTTGTTTCAATTAACAAAAGCAGTTAACGACATTGATGGTCTGTACACACAAAATGATAATGTTTGTAACTTTAGATATCAAGACAAGTTAAAAAAATTACTTTAGACACTTTTTTTATTATTATTAACTTAGGGTAAGTACAAGACAGAATTTATTACAAGATAATTTCTCTCAATAATGAACGCTCGCATCTCTGGTATTTATAGTACTCCAACTTGATTCATCAAGGAATAACGATTCTTTTATAATGAGAGACCATTTGATTCTTGCCAAAAAAAAATATTTTAGATACTTATTCGTGTAAACTAATTTTTTATCACGTGAGATCACTTGATTTTTGCTATATATATATATATATATATATATATATATATATATATGTGTGTGTGTGTGTTTTAGATACTTATTTATGATAAATGTATATTTTGAACCATTGTTTTTTATTTAATCCTTTTCATTTTTTGTTCTTTTGTCATGCAATTCAAAATTGTTTTTCCATATCTCGATTTCCCAAAAACCCATCATCACTCGGGAAGTAGGGAAATCAGAAATGGACGAAGAAACCAGAGCGAAGATAAAGAAGACGGTGACCGGAATACTGGAAGAAGCCGGCTTGAATCAAATGACAGAGTACAAGATTCGAGAAATCGTTCAAACTGGGACTCAACCTCCACGAGTCCAAATACACGGCTTACGTTTGTCACGTCGTCAGTTCTTTCTTCCTGGAGCTCAAAGCTAAACAAAAAGCATGGTGTTTGCAGATGGGAAACCTTGGCAAGGAAGTTTCGCGAGCAAGACAAACTTCCTCGCTCTGAAGGTGAATAAACACTTTGCTTAGCTTCCATTTTCCAATGTTTCAATCTCAAGAGTTTAGGTATTAAAGAAGACAATGGTAACTCTTAGGTTGAAAGTTGAAGTCAACAAGGTATATGCTAGTTAAGGATGATATTAAATGTTCTCTATTTTTTCTGTATTGCTGCAACTGTGGCCTAACCATGGTTTTCAGAACTGGACCGGTTAGTAAATCGGTCATGCTACCGGTTCACTGGATCAATCGGTCGAACCGATTCGATCGATCGGAAGAATCAGACGACGTCATAATTATTTAAAAAATTAAATAAAAATATCAAAAATATTTAATAAAAAATAATTTTTTATATCACAAGTCATTTTCAAAGCAAGTCATAACATATATAAATTAAAAACCATAAAATCAAGTGAAACAAAATGATTAAAATTAACTACAACATAATATTTAATGTAAAACATATTAAATAATAAATATAATTATATAACTATAATTAAAAAATAAATTTGTGGCTAAAAAAATCATAACAAAATGATATTGTTTGGTTTAATTTTTTTTTAAAAATAATCCCACATGGCTAAGAAACATAAAAGAGCATCCCAAAAGTCTAAAGAGTAAAAATATGAGAACAAAACAATCCCACATTGCTAAGAAACATAGAAGAGCATTACAACTAACTTCTATAAATAATAGAGGTAATTTGGCATTCAAAATCATGGAGCCTTTTGGTGAGCATTGAGTGAATTATTCTTTCACTTCAATCAAGCTCGAATTTTAGGCTTCAATTGAGCTTCTAATTTTTTTTAGTTCAAGCCTTTTTGAGTTCAAGTTTCAATATTATATTTCGAGTTTGAGTTGAACTTGATAATTTTTAACTTGTGAGTTTGAGTGGAGTTGAGCTTACTTTTAAAGTTTTCAAGTTCAGTCGAGTTCAGCGGTTCTGGCCGGTTCACTAGTAGCGGTTCAACCGGTTTAGATTGAACCGGAGTAGGCAACGGTTCCCGGTTGAACCGGCCGGTCTGATTTTCAAAACAGAGGGCCTAACAGATCAAGTTTATTGATTAATGCATGCCTTATGGATATGATGTATTTGTTTATCATGTAACATTGTAGGTAGCCCAGAGGGAAGACCGGCTCAAATGGACGACACGGGGATAGTTTTTAACAGTTTGAATGCTGGTAGTGGTACCCGTAAGCGGAGATCGATAAGGGCTACTGGCGAGTGGTCCAAGCAGAAGCAACAACGGGTCAAGCCTGCCTTTGTGCAAGATGGGCGTGGCTGGGGTGGACTTCTCCCTCTTCCTCCGGTTACCATTAATAGGACCACTGCTGATACTACATCGGTCGCTGCTGTTCAGAACGTATATTGACCGTATTTTAATGAGGTGGATCAGGGACTGTCGCTGTTACCACGACAGTTGCCCCGACTATTAGCAGCATTTCATTGGCACTGGTTTGATGCCAGATCCCTAGTGCTTCTAATGCTAAATGTATGCACTTTTGTACTTTTTCTTTGCATTTTTGTTGTTTTTATCATTATTAGGCTGAGAGTACTTTTCTTATGATTGTAGGTCGTGCTGTGTCCATGCCCCTGTCGGGGACTAATGTGGCTGCTGGGACTTTACCTGTTGCAGGAACCAGTGTCGTGGGTGAGCGAGTTGGTGAAAATGACCCTTGCATAACTGCGTTGGGAGCACTCCTCTCCAATGTACAAGATCAATGGCGCAAAGTCGCTAATAAGCTAGCTCCAATAACCGAGGAGCTAGCTTATTAGCGACCAAGTGGCAAGAGAAAGCCCTTAAGCGTGAGCATGAGGTTAAAAAATGGAAGGCAATCGCTGCTAAAGCTGAGGCAGCTACGGGAAAAGCTGAGAGCGAGGCCCTCTCCTTTAAGAGTCAGGTGGAACTGCTAGAGGTAGAAAACAAGATATTGGGGAGTGACAAGAAGGAGTTGTAGGGGTAGCTAAATAACTTTCGGAATTGGCATAATCAAGATGTTATTAGAATACAACAGTTACTGGAACTACTAAAGCGAAAAAATGAAGCCATGAAGGAGCAGTTGCAGATGAAAGACGATAAATGAGACGAGCACATTGTCAAGTTGAACACAAAGATCGGTGGCTTCTGCACTTTTGGACCAATGGTGAAGGGTTGCACCATTTTTTCTATCCAATTACTCCATGGCCCGTTAGACTTGGTCGACGTCGACTGGCAATGTTGCTTGAATGCTGTAAGGGAGGGTTTGAAGTTCGATGTGATGGAGCCCTCGGGCGATGCTAGGATTAAATTTAAGGATGACATGAGAGATAAAGCCTTGCAGCCTCTTGCCACTCCTCAGGTTGAAAAGCCAGATTCCGTTTCCGAGGATGAGGATACGATGGCTCTTTAGGATATTGTTGTATTATGAGTTCTGCGTCAGTACCGAACCCTGCCAACGTTCCGACCATCAATTTTTCTGTTACATATCGTCATTTTTTTATTATCCTAATGGCTACTATAACAGATGTTGTAACTTCATGACTTGTGTTGGATGCCCCAAGTGAGGGAGCACATAGGATAACCTGTAATTGTAACTACCCTTTTGTTAATTCAACAATTGTATTTTTATTCAAATATTATTGTTGTTGTTGTTTTTTCTGATAATGTTGAAACAAACAAGACTAAGCTAGGCGATTCACCTCCCTCAAAACTATCTCCTCCACCTCACCAGGAGGCTCTAGGTGAATAACCGTTCCAATGCTTCTTCCTCTAGCCATAGCAGCAAGTTTGTCTGCAACCATATTAGCCTCCCTGCGAGTAAATTGCACCATCGTTTACCACTCTCGAAGCAATAAACCCCTGATTCTCATAATAATTGCACAGTCTCCTCCTTCTTGGG